TTCTCGAGCCTGACATTATTTCATTTCTGCTAGACTTCTTCCAACTAATCATTTTAGTGAGGAAACCCGGGAGAGAGCCACTTTGAACTATCGTATTCAAATGCAAAAACCTATAGATATTGGCTCTTTCATTTACAAAAATATGATCATTTCTTCTATTGGAGGAACACCTGGAGGTATGGGTTACTCTTTTCTTATTTCTACCATGTGTATACAATTTAGAGTTAATTATGAGCCATGGGAGGAAATTTTTCCATCTTTAAAGCTTATTCGAAAAGCCAATTTGAAAATAAATAGAAAGCATACTGGTTCTGAATCTAGAGGTGGAGGTTCAAACATTTCATCTACTTCAACCTCGAGAGCTTCCACCTCTAGTACTTATACTCTGGACACTATATTGGAGCAGTTATTTATACAAAAAGGAGAAATTATATCTTTAAACAATCAAATGCAAGGATTAGAAGCACACTTGAACCACAATGATGAGTATTTACAGAGAAGAGTTGATTATGATACTACTTTTAACGAGTCTCTTGTGATATTTTTGAGGGGCAATCATACAGTTGAATTTATTACATGCCCTATATTTTCTCCATACGAGAGTGGTGGAGAGATGGAGGAGGAAGTTGATGTAGATGATGATGATGATGATGAGGGGGAGGAGGAGGAGGATTAGAGTATTTTTCCTTTACTTTTGGATTTCTTTTGTTTGTTACTTGATGTAGTATTGTTCAATTATTATGTTTATACTTTGATTAGTCTAATTTAGTTTTATATGAATGTTGGACTGTTGTGCTGTACCTTTTCATTTATGGTATAATTGTTCACTTTTTTGTTACTTCAGTTTATATTGTCTGTGTGTTAAAGTAGTTTTTACTTTATGCTTTTTATAGCTATACCATTGTTTCGCACCTGTCTTAACTACTTGTACCTGTACTATTCTTCAGTTTAGAACTTTTAAAATTAATTTTCTCTTTCTTCATATTTTTTATGTATTGTATAGCTTTAAGTTAATAAAAAATTTAAGTTAGGGGGAAGAGAAAAAACATTTTAAAACTAAACATTATTTATCCTCAATAATAAATCATATTTTTAAAATTATTTTTAGCATGACCTGTGGTATGTGGGGTTAGCTTTAGATAACTATATTTTTGATTTTATAAATGTCATAGTAGACTTAAGTAAAAGTTTTAAATAAAAAAAGTTAGTTCTAGAGTTAAGGTATATAGTATAAGAGTATAAGATTATGCTTTATTATTCATGCAAAAGAAATTGTATTTTTTTAGTATTAAATATCTTAGATTTATACTTAAAAATAAAATATTGAAACTCTATGAAAAAACTCTTTTTCAAAGCTAATACACATTTATCAAGTAATGAAATATGGGAAGTTTTTAACTTTAAGAAGAGGATGATGAAGTTCAAAATCACTAAAGGCTATCCAGATATATTAATCCTCACATAAAAAAAAGAAAAGAAATGATTAAAAATGATCATAAAAGAAAAAGAAAAGCAAAAAAAAAAATGAGAGGAGAAGTTTGAGGAGAGACCTAATAAAAAATTAGTTTCACTTGAATCATCTTAAGAAAAGGGACTAAATCATATTTCTGAACTTATTTTTAATGTATTAGCATCCTTACTAATAGATTTCCATGAAATTTTTCTTCTTGTAATTGTTTTAAGCATCCTTAGTATGACAAATTACAATTACTTTTAAAATGAATAGAAAATAAGTACTCTTAGACTTAACTACTGTGTGTTCTAAAACTTCACTATTACATTTATAAGACAAAAACTTAGACATCTTTAAGTAAAACCTATTAACATAAGTTATGAATTTTTACATAGTACAAGGAGTTACTTGAGGACAAGTAAATTTTAAGTTTGAGGGAATTGATATACTTTGCAATTACCTATTTTTAATCTACATTTAATGTTCATTTTATGCACATTTTTTATGATATTGCACTTTAAAGGAAGATATTTTGCATGTTTTTGGTTTTAGGTACAAGGAATAGATCTTTAGAGAAAATGAGGGCAAATTGGAGCAAAATGGCACAACATCATATGGAGCCATAACGCCAGCCCTTGGAGCCACGGCGTCGAGTATTCGACATGATGGGCATGATCGCGCTAGTCCTTGGTGCCATAGCGCTGGCTATTCAATGTGATGGGTGCCATAGCGCTCCAGAGTGGCTCTATAGCACCAGAAATGGTTTTTCTAGAAGGTGCATTGAATTTGGACAAATTTTGAAGGGGTGCTCAATGTGACCCTTAGTTATTTTCAGATATCTATTAAAAGGGTCCAAGGGTTGAACAAAAAAAAAGTTTTCAAGGAGTTTTAAAGGAGATTTTTAGAGGGTTTTAGGGTGCATGAGTTCATATTTGTGAGTCTTTGATTGTGTAAGAAGAGTTTAGAGATTGCTTGAAGGAGACTTTAGGAATTGCTTGGGGAGAAGACATGAGATATGTAATTTGTATTTGTGTTTGAGTTTTTTCTCTATGAATTTTGAGTAGTTTTCCTTTCTTTCACCTTGCATATAAGAATTAATTAAGTGGCATGAGATTGATTTAAGGAATTCTTTTTATTTTATAAAATTGCAATGGTGTTTTTATCGATTCTTCTTTAACTTCAAAAACTAGTGATTTGTGATGTTAAAATCTGTTGCAAAACATAATGACCCAAGAGGGCTATGATTTCACCAACTAGTGAGTACCACACCTAACTTTGGAAAGAGCCGTTGGGATCATTCGAGTGGAAGTGCAAATAACTAGGGAGATAAGTTTTTGATGAGCGTAGAATTGATGTTTCTAGGTTAACATACCAGATTCTTTTGTCAATATGATGTTGAGTTTGGATCTAATGGTCCCTAATAGGTCATATAAAGGGGCACAATGGGTAATCTGGAAGTGAGAGTCTAAAATCTACTCGACACTACTACACAATTTTGAACAAACTTAAGGTTAGCTAATGCTCTTTGCTAGCACCGAGAGGGGGTAAAAAATAGATATGCTCCTATTTGTCACAATACATCATTTTATATTTTTAATCATTCAATTCCTACACTGATTAAGGTCTCCTTGCAAGGGGAAAGATCTTTTCATATATTCAAACTCTTTTAAACTTATTAGTTTTTTAAACTTTGTTGTTACTTTTTGTTTAAATTTAGATTGCACGTAAATTTAGTTTTAATTCATTACAAAAATTTTGACACCATTCTCATATCATTTTTATCTGCAATTTAGATATAAGTTTTTCTAAGTTATTATTGAAAAGTTACAGCTTTCACTGTGAAATCGATACTGGAGTTTTTAAAGAAAATCATATATTACTTAAAATGATACGTATACTTGCGCAGTATCCCTAGTGTGAAGGCTTATTATGTATTTTCTAAATCATTTTATAACTTCACACTAGCTGTTAAATATAATTTGGGCCAAGTTTTATATAATATTTTAGAGTATAAATATCTGTAAAATTGCGGGTCAGGTCAACGATACGTGCACTTATGTTTTTATCCTTTTGATTTCTCTGTTAAATACTTTTGTTGAACCACTCATTTGATGATGATATGTTGTGAAAATCTTATGTTTAATTGCATAATTAGTCACTAATGTCACAATTTTTCTACTCATAAAATGCCCCTCATCACTAATGATCACTCTAGGCAAACCAAATCTACTAAATACATACCTTTTTAAGAATTTTGCTAATCTTTAGACATCATAATTTGGAAGAGCCCCTGTCTTAATCCATTTTAAGACATAGTACACAACTATCAAAATATATAAATTCCCTAAAGATGGTACAAAGGGACTCATAAAGTTTAAATCCTAAACATAAAAAATTTTAATCTCCAAAGTAAAATTAAGGGACATTTCATCACACGTAGAAATATTGCATAATATTTGACATATATCACAAGTTTTAATACATTCATTGATATCTCTAAATAAAGTAGGCCAATAAAATTCAGATTGTAAGATCTTAAAAGCAATTCTATTAACTCCAAAATCTCCTCCAAACTTTGAATCATGACATTTCTTAATAATTTTAAGGGTTTCTTCTACGGGTACACATCTCCTAATCACGTGATCCTTACAATTTCTATAAAGTTATGAGACTTTCCAAAAGTAATATCTAATCTCATGGATGAATTTCTTCTGTTGATGGTTTGTCAGACCATATGATATAATATCACTAACTATATAATTTATTATGTCAGCATAACATAGAATATGTCATTCAATAATAACAAACAGTTCCTCATCAGGAAAACTCTCATTGATCTCATCTTCATAATCACATGACTTCCCCTGATCTAGTGTTGATAAATAGTCCGCTACTTGATTCTTCGTATCTTTCCTATCTACCACTTTGAAATCAAATTCCTGTATCAAAAAAACCCATCTAATCAATATTGGTTTGATGTCCTCTTTTGACATCATATATCAAATAGTAGAATGGCAAGTATCAACAATACATTTTGTTCAAATTAAATAAGGCCAAAATTTATCAAAAGCATTTACTATAACCAATAACTGCTTCTCAGTAGTAGTATAATTAATTGGAGCTTCATTAAAAGTTTTACTGATATTGTATATAATTTTAAACATTTTATCAAACAATTGCCCTACTACTACCCTGATAACTTAGTCACTTGCATCACACATTAACTCAAATGATTTTCATAAATAAGGTGATATAATAATAAGAACAACGACTAACTTCTCTTTCAGAGTATTAAAGACATTTAGTCATTCATGGTGAAAACTAAATAGAGCGTCCTTTTCTAAGAGATAACATAAATGTTTCACAATTCAAAAAAAAAAATCCTTAATATATTATCATTTACAGAATCCAACATCCCTCAGAAAACTTTTAACTACTTCACAATAGTAGGTAGAGACACTTTTTAAATAACTTGAATTTTGTATTAATAATATGCTATCAAATATGGCCTTCGCATAAAATAATGTAAAAACCCCTGAAATTACAAGTAAGAAACTTATCTTTCGCTTCCGCTTTCCTGCCCCAAACCTTCGCATATCGTCTCGTCCCCCACTCTACCGGTTTCGCCCAAACCATCACCTTCGTGACCGAACCATCGCAATACCGACGCGATTAGAGCTAGCTGGCTGGGAAGGCAACGAGGAATCGTAGCGTACAAAGACATTGGAAAGTCGTCTTTCACCCCATTCCTCCCACCCAGGAAGGTAACCCTCGTCTTTCACCCCATTCCTCCCACCGCCTTCGCGCACTTCAGCTTATCTAAATCCAGTAAATCCTTTTTCCAACGGGATTTACGAAATCCCGGATTTAAGGCAAAACGGAGGAAAAACGGGAGGATTTAAAATGTTATTTTTGCTGTTTGGTGGATTTAGGTTAAGTCCTGCTCAAATCCATAAAGCATTCCGTTGAGGTTCAGTTATCCTGTTCACGCCCAAACAGAATTTCTGCTTTTTAGGAGATTCAAGCTTTAGCATTCCCCCTCATGTTTAAGTTTGCAAATCTTCAATTTTGGGCTTATGGTTGATTCAAGTATACCATATTACAGTTTGGAGATTCAACATCTTTTTAAATGCTTCTTTTTAGGGGAATCGCAAATATACTTATTATACAGAAATTCGTTACTTGATAGAGCTAAATAATGGCAGATCTCTCGACATATTGAATTACATAAGTTTATGTGACTACTTTCGTTTAAGTATTTTTATACTATTAAGCTTCGGCGATTTCATCGTTTCTTGCAGTGAGGACATCTCATTCTCCCGAAATTTGGTTATTGAAAGCCAAAGGAGGGTTGTTTGACATCTTCTGGGACATCCTACTCTATCACGTAACAGAGGGGGACGCATAGCCCTGTTGAAAAGATAAATGAAAGAGGAAGTTAAAGGTGGGAAGGGAAGGAACTTCCCGGTGGATCCAAATCTCCCACGGTGGGTCTGCCAGAATTGCCGCCATGCTCTCTGCGTTGTTGGTGCGGAGTCCTATACCGACAAGTTCTTCAGTGATCCATCTCGTTCTGGTTAGGGCTTGGCTTTATTTTTCCTCAATGTTTCGATTAATCTCGTTTCCAATTTGTCTTGGAGAAACCATTCAAATTTTCTTATTTTTTGCAATGAAAATCTTGATTTAATTCTAGTGAGGAAGTACATTTTTTGTTTGTTTGTTTTTTTGAAGAATTAAGTTCATGTTCAAATTTTGACTTTGTAAATTCTCTTTTGCTTTGGATTCGAAGAAATCTATTTTGATTACTGTTTATTGATTATCCGTTTTATATAAAATCTGGGTATTTTTAACAAGCTTATTAGTTTATAGTGTTTTCCTTGTTTATGTTTATTCCTTTTGTTAGAAAAAAAAGAGTGAAACGCTTGGGGAATGTAGATAGCATATGTCCATCAAACAAAATCAGTAAAACAAGCTCATATAGGGTTAAAAAGTTCATCAAGAGAGGAAGGAGAGAGGGATAAGGGGTAGAGAGAGAGAGAGAAAGAGAGAGAGAGAGGAGAGCGAGAGAGGGAAAGAGAGAGAGAGAGAGAGAGAGAGAGAGAGAGGCATACAATCTGCAGATCTCTAGTTAAGTAAAATAGAGAAAGGAGAGATGAATGGAGCTTACAAACATACATATGTTATTGTGGTGGATTAATTATAGTGGCAGGGAGGAGGGAGAGGCATACAAACATGCATCTGTAATTTAGTAGCACAAAATACATAATGAGGGAGGGAGGTGTTTATGTTATTAAAATGCATTAAAAGGTGGTTTGGTTTGCTTAAAAGTAATGCTATGATTGAAATGTATTATATTTGAAATAATTTGAACTTGTTTGATTTAGTGTAAAATAAATTCAGGATTTTACTTTTTTCTTTTTGGTCTAAAGAAAAATAATACCATTGTCTACATAGTTAACATTGATGCAAATAACTGTGGTGAAGGGCTACGGTAGGGCTATAAACTAACTGAGTTGAGCCGTGTAGAAACCTGTTCAAGTTCAAGCGCATTTACTAAAAACTTATTCAAACTCGACTTATGCTTGATCCAAGCTTTTAGGATGCTATTCAAGCTTGGTTCATTTTTGATTCGTTGTTGTCCAATCTTTATTTTACATAGCTTTAATTGTGTAGCTTGTTCAACCTTACTGAGCCAAGCTCGATCTAATTATGGATGTAAATAAATAATGACTTATTAAACTTTAACACCCATGTGTTGTTTGAACTGTTCGGAGCATAGTATGATGTCTATACATCCGAACAACAACCATAATACATGTTTTTTTGATGCCAAACTAAAAGGATAAAAGGTAAAAGGCCTAAAAGTTTAAGTGAAAGCTTGAATGACCCTATTATGGATCAAGTGAATATATGATTGGATGATTGTTTTGGATATATTATTTTTATTTAATAATTTTAAATTATTTTTTATTTAATAATATAAAATAATTTGATTTTTAAATTATTTTAACCATACTTTATTTAAATTAAATTATATTTTAATTATAATTTATATTTGATTTAAGTCACAATTGAGCTTTAATTCAGCATCTTAATGAGTATGTTCACGAGCTTTAAACAATATTGTTCACGTTCTTAAACGAATAAAGTAACAAAGTGCTCAAGCATATTAATTTAATAATTGAGAATCTAAAAAAAACTGTTCATGCTTGCTCGGTTACTTAATTAAATGATCATAAACGAGCTATAATCATGTAGAGCCATGAGTAGCTTGTCAAATGTTCGGTTCGTTTACAACCCTAGGTTGCAGTTTATAGTTGTCGGCCAAATTTGGTGCATTTGGAATGCACCAGTTTTGAATTGCAATATAAAATCTAAATTCACAAAAAAATTTATAGTGCATTTCATCTTCATCTAATATAATGTCAAAATTTTGAAAACTCTTGTATTCTGTTTACTTTACGCTATAAATTCATCCAACTGAACAACTTCTAAATTTGTGAGGAGACAAATTTCAGAAAAAACGATAAACATAGCATTTGCAGTTCATTTGATGAAAATATTTGACATAATTTGTAATTTGGAGGGAGATATTGAGGGAGTTGTAAAAATCAAGTAACAAAAATGTTATTTCTTTGGATGATTAATTTTACACATTATTTGAGATTATAAGATATGAAGCTTAACGTTCATCTCCTAGTTTCAAATATTGTATATAAATGAAAATACAACATGAAGTTATTACTTTAAATACAACTCAAAATGTTTTTTTAAACAACCAAAAAGATAAAATTTCTAAGTCATATCATGATTATTTTGGTAATAATTTGTAGGCTTGTAATAATTTTTAAATTTCTCAATCAAATGGAGGCACAATTAATACTTACAATTTTGTAAGAGCTTAATTCACTTCCATGGTTAGACTTACTATTCAGCAAGCTACGACACTCGGTCCTAAAACCTGTTTCAACTCCTTAAACTGGTATTCATGCAATAGAACATGATCTGACGTTTGATTAAGTTCTAGTTGTGATGGTGATTTACATCTCATAGGCCTTCTTAAATCTTCAAGTGTTTTATTACAATGATCGTTTATCCACGCCACCTTTTAGATGGGATTTGTAAGATTTGTTGTAATAAGTACTTCTATTATGAGTGATAATGACATAGTTCTACATGCATGTGGAAAAAAAATAATGTTTTGTAAATAATGAATCTCAATTGAAGAACAATCTCTAGTCTGTAGTTCAAGCATTTTTTTTGTAAGAAAATATTCTCTTGTTTCATTTTACAACCAAAAGGACGATTGTCCGATAGAGGGACTATTTAATGGACTTGAGATTATCCACTTTGACGATTAAGTGACGTCATTTATGCTAGACTCATTCATTCAAGGAGCTGTAGTCCGATCTAATACATAGATGATTAGTAGCAACAACCAAATTTTTTGTGCAAAAATCCATCTTTAATTCACATAGATGATTAGTAGCAACAACCAAATGTTTTGTGCAAAAATCCATCTTTAATTCACCTGTGCCACTTATAAATTCATTTTGAATTACTTTAGCTCATCCATGGTGGTTTTAATTATCATAGTTGTTCAAAATTGTGAATGTCATTATTTAATTAATCCTTTCAAAGAAAAAATGGTGAAAAGAAGTACAGGGAGTTTTTCTTCTTTAGATTTTTCATATTACAAATTTTGTTTAGTGGAATTATAAGCACTGACATTACTTTATGAAATAGTAGATACTTTCTCATGGCCATCTTTCTTCAATTTCATTATTTTAACAAGCATTAGTGAAACATCCTCATATCAATAGGTAATTCTATGTTGTACATTGTGATTGATCTTCTTGTTCTTGTAATGTTCCTTTGCTATCGCGTTGGTTTTTTTTTTTAGTGACCATTTCATGTCAAATTGATATTTTTTTTCTTTGATAGTTTATATAATGCAATATTTTTATTTTTTTGTTGTTAAATTTTTGGGATATTTTTCTAATCTAGATTCTTTTTGCTTGATATGGGATACATGTTCGTATCACAGTTTATAACAAGTAGAAATAACATATATATCATTTGATTATTTGGGTTGGTTACGAGCCTACATAAGGTATCAACTCTATTTATAGAAAAATTAATGGAGTTGTCTTGATGCAATGTTTTTACCAGCATGGCCATTTAACATCTCTTTACCTCCATTTTTTTTAAAGATCATTAGGAGGGCTTGCCGTTGGTATATGATGGATGCAAAACCATTATATGTGTGTTCGCACGCACGCCTGCACCCTTTCATCTGTTTGTGCATGTGCGTGTCTATGTGTATGTGTGTACGCGTGTTTGTATGCATGCATGCATGCATGTATGACCTCCATTGAGATTGGTTCTTGAGAGCTCTAGGTCAGAAACTAAGGAGTTGTGTCTGTGTGAGTGTGCATGTCTGTATGTCTGTGTGTTTGTTTGTATGCGTGTCTATCTGTGAGCGTGTATGTATGCTTGCATGCATGCATGTCATCCACTAATATTAGTGCTTGAGAGCTTTAGGTTGGAAACTAAGGAGTTTACCCCTTGTGTCAATGCTATTTCAAACAGTTCATGATGATGATGATTGGCATTAAAACTTCTTATCTTCCTTATTTGTACACCTTTTTTTTCTTAATGTGTATACTGAAACTAATTATGTTTTGATGTCAAGAGTGCCAACCCAATTTGTTTCTATTATTTTCATTTTCCACTTTTTGTTTCATATAGTTGATTGCCATCACTTGCCTTCACATTTTCATATTTGTCACAACCTACCTACTTTTTTGTGGAATTCATCCTCTCCCACTTCTTGGGATCGAAGAAAATGATGAAAGTCCTCTCCTCTTCGCTGTTCTTCCTCCCTATCCTCACACAAAATTGCCTTAGCATTCCGCCAAAGCCCACAAAGCTGAAGCTTCCCTTGTTACTTCTTTCCTCATGTGCAAACTAGCCCGTCAAGACCTACACGCCCGTTTATTTTCTTGCCTTGATACTCGCTGTGCAAAACCCGTTCACTTCGAAATAATCGTAAGAATTTGCTTGCACGGTGCTGCTCCACCGTTTCTCTCTGTATCTCAACTTCCTCTTGTTCCACACGAGCCCTAATCGCACCACCCATACTCTTCTTTGCCGAGCCTCCCAATCCTTTTTAATGTTAAGCAAAACAGATTTAATTTCTTAAATATTAATATTATATTTTGGAATAATAAAATCATTGCAACTATACAACCAATAATTAGGCTAGTACCTGTCTTTTGGAATAATAAAATCATTGCAACTATGCAACCAATTTTGTAACTCAACTTCCTCAACATGAACCTTTATTTTTCTATCATACTATTTGCATTTTTACATTTTGCATTGTAAAAAAAAGAAGAACAAAATCTGGGTTGTATTTTTTTTTAATTATTTTATTTCATTGTTGTCGCTTCAACATTGTTTCGATGATCGAAACCTTTGTTGTCGATCTTGCTCGCAAAAGGTATAAAATGAGTGTGGGAGGGTAATTTTCAAAATATTTTTGCGAGGAAGCTCCAGTACCCACCCTTGAGAATTAAGTATTGTGTGATGAAATTGCAGACTCGTTTGAATTTTTTTTTTAAATTAAGAAAATTTAAATTAATAGTCCTGAGAAATGCTAGTAAAAAAAAGAACAAAATCTGGGTTGTATTTATTTTTATTTATTTTATTTCATTGTTGTCGCTTCAACATTGTTTCGATGATCGAAACCTTTGTTGTCGATCTTGCTCGCAAAATGTATAAAATGAGTGTGGGAGGGTAATTTTCAAAATATTTTTGCGAGGAAGCTCCAGTACCCACCCTTGAGAATTAAGTACCGTGTGATGAAATTGCAGACTCGTTTGAATTTTTTTTTTAAATTAAGAAAATTTAAAATAATAGTCCTGAGAAATGCTAGTACATGTCTTTTGGAATTAAGAACCCCCCAAGGAAAGTAAAGTATACTTATTCGAGCAAATGCTTGCGTGTGATTTAATCTTTTTGCAGGTACATTGAAGGCTTAAGTTATCTTTTAAGATTGTTGGTTGAAATACACATTTTGCTCTTCGGTAATATTATCTCACAACACTAACCAATAAGCTTTTTGAGATAGTTGGGAATGTTGGCATTTTCATGGTGCCCTCTAACGGGGGTTGATGTCGGAAGGTTGTCAAATTTTTCGATTGATTTGGACTTATAAAGAACTTAAGGTTTTGGACTGTTTCAACTTATAAAATAATTTAAAATATGGAGAATTTGATTTCTAAAAATAATTTTAATATGAGCCTTTAAAAAAGAAAAATCTTATGCCCCTAAGACTTGAAAATATTTGAAGTTGGGTTTTTAAAATTTAGCTCCTCGGATTTGAAAGTATTTAAATGTTGTGGCTTTTCAAAGTTAGGCTCCTAGGATTCAAAAATTATTTCAAGTTGGGCTTTTCCAAAATTTGACTTCTAGGGTGAAACTTAATTCAAAATTGAATTTTCCAAACCTAGGCTCTATGGGGTTGAAACATGATTCAAATACGATTTTTTTTTAATTTGAAAAATTTCGCCACAAGATATGCAATTATAGTTTGCAAGCAGAGACAAAGCGGTAAGATGCTCAAAATGAAGATGTGTGTAGCCTAAAGTCATAACATTCACACAAACTTTCAAAATGTTTAAATGGTCTTGTGACTTTATCATCTCCTAAGATAGTGTTTCATTTGAATATAAATACCCCCAAGATTTGTGAGAGCCTTTCAAGATACATGCGTTCAAATTATATGCATGCATTTTATAACAAATTATTAGTGCAATCAGTAAAGTTTAATAATATCAAAGCTTACATTTACATTTTAAGACATCTTCTAACTCTGAAACATTGAATTAAAATGTGCAAATATTTTAAAAAATATGCTGCATCAAAATGCATGTAAGTTAGCATATAAACTTCCACCGGCTCTGTAATTCTTACTTGCAAGTAGACATAAGGTGGTCATTTGAAGAGGTCAACATGAGGTCCTTAATATAAAATTAATGCAAACTTTTAAAAAAGCTTTAAAAATTTCATGAGTTCTAAATCAATAATTAATATAGGGGCAAACTTTGAGATTCGTACAAATGTGTTGCAATCTTTTCAAGTAATTATGCGAGCATTTTGAATTTACGTGCGTGCATTTTAATATGACAAGAATAATCAGTAAAGTTTCAATGATTTTCATGCTCGCTTTCATTTTTTAAGACATTCCCAATTTCAATGCAGGGCATTAGGAGATGTGATCATTTTTTTTTAGAAAATGTGCAATTACAATCCTTGGATATGCTAAATGTCGTTATAAAAGTGCATAAATGTCATATAACTATATGAGAGTAATATGTCAAATATAATGTGCATGCAAATGAATATTCATATGCATGCACATTATATTTGACATATTACTCTCAAAAAATATGCATACATCTCAAAAAATCCTCCCAAAGTGAGGACAAAATCTTTAGACAGTGTTTTATCTAATATCTAATCTGCATTCTGAAAATTTGACCCTCAGTGCTCTCTCAATATAAACAAAATAGAGAATTCGGGGCATTGGAATTTTCAGATCGCACGGATCTATTATGCCTATATGTTTCTTTATTTTTTTGTCAGCATTGACTGATGGCTATTATGCCTATATATTTTGACAAGGTATATGTTCTACTAAAACTATCTTTATATTTTAGTAAAAAAAATTGTCCATTATTTTAAGCTTTAACTTCGAAAGAAGCCTCATGCTTCCCCAAAGGACCTTGAAATGTAGCATAGTTGCCCCATAAACTGAATCAAAACTCTCACATCTCCTTGCATTTATTCTTTTTCAATACTTTTGTTGCTTAATTGGAATTATTTGAAAATACTTTTCCTCGTTATTCATTTTCATTAATCACTTCAACGGAAAACTTGCCCTTGTTTTTTTTATTTCCTTTGATAGCAATCAATTTGATTTATGATATCAACATGATTTTTTTACAGCATATTTCGTTGTTTCCTACTAACTTTGTGGTTGACTTATAAGTTTGATTTTCTATAAATGTAACATCTTCATTCTTAAATACTAAAAGTAAGGCATTGAGTATAAATCAACAACTGCAATAAATAGACTTCGAAGACCTGCTTTTTGTTGCATCATTTAATAAAAAGGTAAAGTGTAAAATAGTCTTCTGACTATTCACATTGACTATTCACATCGATTTATTATAGTCCCAAAGTCTACACAAATGCCAAACTAGTCCACAAAATCTTTAAATATCTGTTGAAATAGTCCCTAGGTAGGATTATCTTAGCTCCGTTTAATAAATTTTGGGACTAAATTAACAATTTTATATACTTTGGGACTAAAATTACCTGTGATAAAAGTACAACGGACCATTTTAACACTTCTCTTTAATGAGATATTTAGTTTACTAAAATTTTATATCATGCGCTTGGTTTGAAAAGTGGAATTCATGTTAATTTTGTGTTCTCGGAATGAGAATAGAAATGCAGGTTTCTTCAGTCCAAGGAATCTTGGTGGGCTCCACTCGAATGGACCATTCTTTTGTGGTTCTTTCTAAACAAAAGGGTCAGGGTCTTGGAATCCCTCCTCGCCCAAAAAGCGGGCTTTCTCAGCCAGAGGGAAACCCTTCTCCCAAGGGAATGGAAGAATCCTTTGTTGTTTTACCTCCTGCTGCAGCTTCTATGTACAATAATGGTTCTACGTCAGAGGGAGTGGGAGCTCATTTACCAACTCCGAGTGTTAGTGCCACTACTCCGTTGCAGATGAGTAATTCTAGATTCCACTCGAGCATTACTGTGCTGAAGAAGGCATTTGATATTGCCACTTCACAAACACAGGTATACAAGCTATTTGTTTTGCATTCAGTCATTTTGTGGCATTTACATACATACCGTCCAAGTCCTATGTATTCACATATATAATCCATAAACATTGCTTTTACAGTTTACGGCCCAAATTTTTCAGATCACAAAAAATATGATCATTCTAACTTTTAAAAAGTAAATACACCTTTTCATGCATAAGTTGGTATGAATATAAAAATTAACTTGTAGGTATTAGATATGTATATACATAGGAATTGAGTGGTATGTATGCAACTCATCCTAGCATTACTCGTCTGTTCAAAGCTTTACTTTGATAGCTTATTTTTAATTGGATATTGCTTCTCTATGCTGAAAGATGAAATTGTGTTCAAGTGAAGTTAAAGTACTATTTTGTTATTGTTTTCATCCTCGTTACGGACAAAAAGAAACTTTTTTGGAATTTCTTGCGCTGAGGTTGGCGTTGCTCTTTTGAGTTACTGTCATTAATGGACTCATTTTTTGATAGCTGCATACTTTATGCCTTTTAATTCTCTTTTTGAGATTTGAGCTGCCATTTCTTGAGATTAAATTAGACTTTTTCATGTATTACGAGTTCTTTAGGTTGAGAGTTTCTTAGGTTGAACAGCCTCTCTGTTTGGAATGCTTGCGTATTTTATCAGATAAACTCGACAAAGAGGTTGAAGACGTAAATATGGACATTAAAGCATATGAAACATGCCTCCAGCGTTCTGAGTTGGAATCTTATGATGTTCTTAACGATGCTGATTTTCTCAAGGAGAAAGAAAAGGTGTGGATTTCATAACTTCCTTTTCTGGTTAGCGTAGTGATGTGTATGCACGCCTGCACAAGTATTTTTCCAGGTAGTAATGATTGAGACATTTTTGTGAAAGGAAGATTTTCATATATTCCACTAAATTCCCATGTATTTACACATTTAAATCCTAAATTTCAATTTTTACACATATGCCACCTTACATATGAATGCAAAAGTGTATTTCACTTCTTAAAAAATAAAATAGTGGCATTTTTAATGTGATATTAAAGATATAGGTGGTATAAATGTAAAAAGTAAAATTTAGGTGTTAGATATGTAATTATACAAGAATTGGGTGGTTTGTATGAAAATGGCCCTTTTTTAAATTAATCAATGGCACATGGCTTTTCATATTAGCTAATTCCTCTGTGTTGCACATAAAAACATTTTTCCAGGTAGGAATTATGGGGGGAGACATCCTTAAAGTCAATTACTTCCATTTGTCAGTGTTCATTATTTTTAAGTTGAAGAGGATGGATTAGACGTCCCCTTTATCTTTTTAGGGCACCTTTGCTCAAAGTTTGAAAACATGTTTTGAAAATGGCAAAGTTTGCTAAATACACCTTTTGGTTAAATTTAATTATAAAGTAATAACAAACCTCCTAAAATTTTCTCAAATGTAAAGAGTTCATTTTCTCATAAAAAATGAGTGGAAAAAAGCTCATCATTTGGAATACCAATGTTACGTTTATGATTGTCCTAGGAGGCATGGCCAATCTAAGAAAAAAGCGAGAGTTTAAGCGGAATAACATGTGTGAGTAGGGGCCAACTCAACCCAAACTCTACTAAAAAAATCCCGGTTCGGATTTCCCTAAATAATTTTTGGGTTAGATTCAAGTTATGAATCGTAACCCGTTTAATTTTTTGGGTAAGGTTTGGGTTTATTGTAACGTCTAAACTTACCTGCTAATTTACTCAAAATTAGCCTGCCAACCCGAGATTGACTCGAAATCGACTTATGCTTGAACCTAATAGCTTTTATGCTTTATGTTAAATGGGTTATGCGGGTCAAGTTCAGATCAACAACTTGAAGGTGGGTTGGGTTTGGGTTGGACTTTCTGACCCATTTAATCTTAAGTTCAGGTTTGGGTTAAACGATTTTGAATCGGGCCAATTTTGGACCAGGCTTGAACTTGAGTCGCAAATCCAATTTGAGTTCCCTATGCGCAACTAGTTTGGAATTATGTCTAGAATTTTATAGTTAATTTTTGGATTGGTATGTACTTGATGACGCCGCGGGGGGGTATACTTTTTCGCAGACAAGCCTTGATGGAGGAATTTGGGGGCGTAGGGGTCGGCCAAATGGCACACGCCGTTCGGCTCGATCCAAGTGGGAGTAGGATCAAGCGTTCCTTCCTTGCGCATGGTTCCCTTCTATTTGTAGCGGGTACCACTGCTCGTTATCTTGGTTTTGGTGTGAGTTTATTTCGGACAACCGCCGACATCCGTTTCTTCCTTCGAGGGTTTTATCCGAGGGATTTAGTGGTGCTCCGGATGTATCTCTCTCCCGAGGTGGTGATTTTCTTCCGTATCCCCTTTTGCATCCTCCCACATTGCTTCTGGCCGCCCCTTCCTTATTGCAGCCTCCTCGAACAACCTCTTTTGGCTGTTTTCTACAGTTTCTGCTTTCCAACTGCCTTTCTCGCCCCTTGGTTGCTGTTCCAGTCGGTTTTCTTCAGCCCCCTTGCCACCTCGCTGCTGTTCCGACCACGAGAAACGCCCATTTGCAGCCTTGGTTGTTGTGCCAACCATTTCAAACATTCGGCCCCCCCCCTCCCCCCCCGCCCCCCCCCACACACACACACGTGCTGCCATTGTTGTTCTTGTTTCCATACCCGCTGCCAGTGCTGCCCCAACCCTCCATCTTCACTGCTGCAACTGTTCTAACCCTACCCCTTTGCTGTCATCAACCCGGACAGCGTACAATGTCGATATCTACTGCGTACTTGCTATGCGGAACCCAAAAAACTATTTTCTTGTTTTTTGCTTGATCGCCAGCCCATCCACTTGCCCGCCACCTTCTTCCCCTCACTGATCACCATAACAACCCCAAGATCTATCCTAACTTGATTGGATTGTTGAGTGTGTTGTTATTTTCTTTTTAACATTGTATGTTGTAATCACCTATTGGCTTTATTATTAATAATATTTGCTTGTCTATTGTTATTTTCTTTTTAAATGCCGCACACCGTCCGACTCGGACCATGTGGGAGAAGGATCGAGTGGTCCTTCCTTGCGCACGGTTCCCTCCTATTTGGAGTGATGCCCACTACTTGTTATCCCAAGTCTATATATACGTTCTTTGTTGTATTTAAGGTTAGGTATTGGTGTGAGTTTATTTCGGACAGCCGCCAACATCCATTTCTTCCTTTGAGGGGTTTATCCGAGGGATTTAGTGGTGCTCCGGCTGTATCTCTCTCTCGAGGTGGTGATTTTCTTCCCTATCCCCCTCTGCATCCTCCCACATTGCTCTTGGCCGCCCCTTCCTTATTACAGCCTCCTGGAACAGTCTCTTTTGGCAGTTTTTCTGCAGTTTCTGCTTTCCAACTGCCTTTCCACGCCCCTTGGTTGCCGCTCTAGCCTGTCATCTTCAGCTCCCTTGCTGCCTCGCTGCTGTTCCGACCACGAGAAACACCCCTTTGCAACCTTGGATGTTGTGCCAGCCATTTCGAAGCACTTTACCTCTACCTCGCCATTATCCCCCCGACGTGCTGCCATTGTTGTTCTAGTTTCCATAGCTGTTGCCAGTGTTGTCTCAACCCTCTATCTTCGCTGCCGCTGCTGTTCTAACCCTCCCCCTTTGCTGCCATTAGCCCGGACAACCAGCAACGTCGATATCTGCTGCATACTTGCTATTCGGAACCCAGAAAACTATTTTCTTGTTGTTTTTTTCTTGCTCGCCATCCCTTCCACTTGCCCGCCACCTTCTTCCCCTCATCAATCACCATAACAACCACAAGATCCACCCTAACTTGATTGAATCGTTGAGTGTGCTGTTATTTTCTTTTGAAGCGTGTATGTTGTAATTACCTATTGGCTTTATTAGTAATAATATTTATTTTTAATATTTATTTTTCTATATTTATTTTTCTATTGTTGTTTGGGTTAACTCGGGTATCATTTGGTATCAAAGCTAGCCTGAGCATCCACCATTACCCGACCATATCTTCACTCAAAACTCTTTTATTTTTTGATTTTCCAAGCACACCACCCAAATATCTTCTTTCTCCCTATATCACACTTGCACACCTCCTTACACCTACTCGCACCCAAAACCTAGCCATGCAGCCACGGAGATAATCGTCGGAAGCCTGATTGAGGGGGAATAACACGATGCCGTTTATGAAAAATTCCCAAAGAGACGTCCAACGGATTTTTAGGTTGGATATGCAGTGAGAAACCTCCAGCTACAACCGATGCCTACCACCTTCGAGAGAAGGCAATTCAGATAGTTTACTAGTAACCACAACGGTGACTTGCAAGATCGAAGGAATGAAGTGAATCCATTCCATCATACGGATGCCAGGGATGAAGAACTTCTACCCGAAAGACTTGACCTGAAATATCCGAGAAGCCAAAATTTGGAAGTAAAAGTGGATTTGTCATATTTCAATGGCCACATGGATCAAAACGAGGTCATTGTATAGCTCTGGATCTTGAAATGTGTTTTTGAGCTTCAGGATGTCCCACTGGATGGAATTGTGAAACTAGTTGCCAATAAGTTAAAAAAAAGAGCATCTCAGTGGTGAGCGAACTTGAAGGTTTTTCGACTGCGAGTAGGGAAGAGTAAAGTTACTACCTGGTCCCATAATGGGATATGTAGCGCTAGATTCGAAAAACTCACTACAGACTAGATGTTCAGAACCTAATTTCAAAAGCGGAGAGACAACATCATCGAATGTCCACCACATTTTACAAGCAAGGTTCAATCCAAGATTTTTAAGTCAGAGTACATCCAAGGGAACATTAAAGCTAGTCCCGCCTGAGTTGAAACTGATTCAGGGTAGAGAACAGGTAGATCGAACTAGTATTTCTAAATCAGTATAGCTGAAAAGTGCTTTAGGTGTCACAAAATTGGGCTTATTGAAGCAGATTGCACAACCAGAGGGAGGATATGTTTCACTGAGGAGGGAGCAATAGACATGTAAAAAAGTGAGGACATGAAGGAGAAGTACTAATTGCCAGCCGAGGAAGTGATACCATTGATTCCAGTTGATCCTAGGAGAAAGATTCTTAGTGACTTGACAATAGTTATTCTTGAAGGTGGTTAGTCCCAGATAATGGGCATTTATGCAGAGTATGAAATTGTGGTGCTTTGAGGTAATGCTTGCAGGCATTGAGAGGAGCATTAGTAGAACTGACATTGAATGTCCAAAAGGGTCATGGGCTTGAAGAGCAGATATCCGACATAGGGCCACCCCACATAAGAGAAATTTAGCTTTTTTGGATATATAAACTACTTCCCGAGTTGCCTTTGCTGAGATAGGTCCCATATGTCTGAGATGAGACTCTTTTGTGCCACTTTTGGAAGCCGATATGAAGTTATATTGTATTGAGGATAAAATGGGATGAATGAATTGCAGTGTTGGAGACCATCTCAGGATTATTGTGGGAAATAACATTTTACGGTGTGATCAAGGTCTTACAAGAGAAGAAAATGCTTCTCTTGAGTGGTTACGCGTCAGTGTGGTATAATTTGCCAAAGATATTGTTCTAGCGTTGACCCCTCATGACAGCCTTGTTTATTAGATTCATGCAGCCGAGTACACGGAGTGGAAAAAGAAAAGTCCAAATATAGGGACTCCAGAGTTACTTTATGAAAATTTACATCGATATGTAGCCCTTGTTCAGATTATGTCAAAATGGGATGAATATTTATTTTATCAGGATGTGCTTTGGAATGATAGTGCCGATAGGATTGACATACCTGGAGATTATGTCATTTCCGCTATCTACAGCTGGGCCGACACGAT